ATAAAAAACAATCCAGGTGACACCGGGCAGTGCGTCAAGATGATCCTCAAAGATTTTTTTTTAAAAAAAAAAAATAAAAAAGCTGGTGGTTTCAATTTTGAGACGAGCGGCGTTGCATTAGACGTGTCAGAGAACGGCGACGCAACGTCGCACGCGACGATCGTCGCGAAGCTGTCGTGCGTCATAGGGGGAGGCATTGCGGGACTTACACATGAACAAAGGGCACGCTGGTTCCAAGCCCTGTTCGTTATGTCGCAACGCCTTGAATAGAAACTTTGATTACTTGACATATGCTGTATCTGGTTTCTTTGTGGCAGACGCGCGCTTGGATGCGTCAAAGATACGCAGAAACGATGACGCGACAATCATCGCGATCCTGGAACGACTTCGACCCGATTGGGATGCATATCAGCGGGGGGGGGGGTCAGAGGGGCAGTGCACGACCATCACACAGCACAAAGGATGGAACTTCCGCCCCGAACACATAGCGCTGGACCCAGGTTTGCGACATCTCCCTGCGCCATTCATTTGCGTTGACTGGATGCATTTTTATTTTGTGTCTGGTATACTCGACAGAGAAGTAAAAACACTTTTAGGGCATGCGCAGTTCAAGTGTTTGTGCGATGCAAGCGAGTTGCATGAGTATTTCATGAAGTGGACGTGGCCGAGTAAACACCACTCAGCCGCAACTGTATGGGAGACTGGTGAGCTCCAAGCAGGTGCCTCATAAGAGATCTCTGCGTTGCCTGTTTTGTGCAGGTATATTCGGCAAGTAATGGCCAAGCATCCTTCATCGTATCAAGTGGCCCCCCAGATCGCAAGTATGCTGGCATTGCAAGATGCCCCTGACATGATCATCACGGCGGCGCGGCGGCTTCCAGTCACGACCGCGCAGATAGAGTCAGCGATCGTGAAACATCTTCGGTGCCATCAGGACGCATATGGTGAAAGCTATTGGGTGTATAAGCACCATATGACAACCCATTTGCCAGAAATGTTTGAAAAAAAAAAAAAAAAAAAACATGGGTCGCTCAGTTGCTTTGTCCAGGAACGCAAGCACAAATTCGTAAGACGTTTCGCCACAGACCACACGTGCAAGAAGGGGCCAGAGAAGGCTCTCATGGTCCAACTCACTGCGCAGCACGCGCACGATTTAAAGACCATGCGTGTTTCACCTGGCTTAGTCGACCCAACGAAAGCAACACAGAAGCTGCTGAATGCGTTGAAACGCATGTGCCCTGGGACGCATACAGCCGTCTCCAGCATCGAAGCCATGACAGATTTCGGCCGCATCAAGCGCGGTGATATCGTACTTCTGGGGTCGGGCGGGATGCATGCTGCAATGCAAGTGTGGTTTCACGTGAAATGCGACGATGGCGAGTCGCAGGTGCTTGTCCAGCAGCTTGCAACTAAGCATGTGAACGCCGCTGAAGGTTTTTCCAGACACATCTTTTTAGATGATACAGACCCTGTTATGATGCCTCTGCCCTCGCTGAAAGCTCCTGTGATTTACAGGAAAATAGAGAACGACATCACGTGTATTTGGCCAGTAGAATACACATCGCGATGTTGCTAGCATGATGCGCTGCGGACCGTCGCGTTTGCCCCAGGACGACAAAGAAATCTGAAGGCCCCTGAGCAGATCCAAATCGACGAAGCGCCCAATCGTGATGCCCCAATTTCCAACTACATGAGATGCAAAAACACAGCATAAACATAAAAAACAGCTTCACACTGGCCAAACCTAGCTAGTTATAACTCCGTTAGTAACAATTAGAAGTTCCGCTAACTGTTACTAACTACGCAGGGCCTTCAGGCGCGCAACCGCAACCGCAACCGGGCGACACATTTCAAAGCGCCCGCGGGAGCGCGCAACCGCAACCGCAACCGCAACCGGGCGACACATTTCCAAGCGCCCGCGGGCGCGCAAAACCGCAACCCACAATCCGCAACGGGCGAGGGGACGTATTCAAGCGCCCGCGGAACGCGCAACCGCACCAACCCGGCCGAAACGCATCAAGCGCCGCGGAGCGCGCTAACCGCAACACCGCAACCGCAACCGCAACCGGGCGACACATGTCGAAGCGCCCGCGGGAGCGCGTAACCGCAACCGCAACCGCAACCGGGCGACACATTTCGAAGCGCCCGCGGGAGCGCAACCGCAACCCAACCGGGCTTCACATTTCAAAGCGCCCGCGGGAGCGCGCAACCGCAACCGCGACCGCAACCGGGCGACGCATTTCAAAGCGCCCGCGGGAGCGCGCAACCGCAACCGCAACCGCAAAACCGGGCGACGCAAGTTCAAGCTCCGCGGCCGCGCAAATAACCGCAACGCCAACAGGTGCGATGCATTTCAAAATGCGCACGCGTGAGCGCGCAACCGCGACCTGCAACGCAACCGCAACCGGCGGACACATTTTCAAATCGCCTCAGGCGCGCAACGCAACCGCAACCGGGCAAGACAAATTTCAAAGCGCCCGCGGGAGCGCGCAACCGCAACCGCAACCGCAACCGGGCGACACATTTCAAAGCGCCCGCGGGAGCGCGCAACCGCAGCCGCAACGGCAACCGGGCGACACATTTCAAAGCGCCCGCGGGCGCGCAACCGCAACCGCAACCCGGCGACACATTTCAAAGCGACCGCGGGAGCGCGCAACCGCAACCGCAACCGCAACCGGGCGACACATTTCAAAGCGCCCGCGGGAGCGCGCAACCGCAACCGCAACCGCAACCGGGCGACACATTTCAAAGCGCCCTCGGGCGCGCAACCGCAACCGCAACCGGGCGACACATTTAAAAGCGCCCGCGGGAGCGCGCAACCGCAACCGCAAACGCAACCGGGCGACACATTTCCCACGGCCCAGTATCAGCAACCGAAACCCAACACCGCAACCGGGCGACAACATTCTCAAAGCGCCGCGGAGCTCGCACGGCAGACCGACAACGAAACCGGCGACGCATTTCAAAGCGCCCGCGGGCGCGCAAACGCAAACCGCACCGGGCTGACACATGTCAGCGCCCCGGGAGCGCCAACGCAAAAAACCGCAACCGCACACGCGACACTTTCAAACGCCCGCGGGCACGCAACCGCAAACCCCACAACCGCACCCGTGCGACACATTTTCAAAGCGCCCGCGGGAGCCGGAACCGCAACCGCACCGCAACCCGGTTGCGACACATTTCAAATCTCCCGCGGCGCGCAACCGGCAACCCAACAACCGCGACCGGCGACCATTTCAAAGTCGCCGCGGGAGCCGCGGAACCGCAAAAAACCGCAAAAAAAAAGACCGGCAACCGGGCGACACATTTCAAAGCGCCCGCGGGCGCGCAAACGCAACCGCAACCGGGCGACACATTTCAAAGCGCCCGCGGGAGCGCGCAACCGCAACCGCAACCGCAACCGGGCGACACATTTCAAAACGCCCGCGGGCGCGCAACCGCAACCGCAACCGCAACCGAGGAGGAGGGGGACGACGACGACGACGACGACGACGACGACGACGACGACGACGACGACCAGGACGACGACGACGACGAGGGCGAGGAGGACGACTGAGCAACAGCAGGGGGATGGGCTGGGGGGGGGCAGGGGGCGGGGGACGACAAGGAGAAGAAGGAGGAGCCACTGGCGGAGGGCCCGACGACGAGCCCCCGCGTGGCCCGCGGTTCTCCGCCGGGACATTGCAGCGGGGAATCCCTATTCCACGCTGCTGACTTTGATTTCAATGTGTTTGGGCTTCCTGCTTCTCCCTCGTCAAGCTTCAAGGGGGGGGGGGGGGGGTAATCTAGTAGGAGGAGGGCGAGTGAGGAAGGCATATGCTGACGGACGAGGAGGATGAGTTGACTAAAGGAGGGAAACAAAAACGGTGGGAAGGGGGAAATGGAGGGAGAGGAGAGGAAATCAAAACAGGGGAGAAGAGGATGAGGGTGGGAAAGGAGGAGGAGATCCGCACCACTTGCTCGGCGGGCCGTCTGTCTCGGCGCGCCGCCCGCGCGCCCGAGCGGCGCGGCGGCCCCCCGCCTCGCCGCCGCGGGCGCGGCACGCCCTCGCGACACGGCGCCGACCGCCGCCGCCGCGCGGGCGGGCACGGGCCTACGGCCTCAGCCGCCAGCCCACCTCGGCGCAGGCGCGGCACGGCGCAGGCCGCCTCCGCGCAGCGCCTGGGGCCGCTCGCCGCCCAGCGCCCTCCCGCTGCCGCCCAGCAGGCCGAACGGCCGCAGCAGTGCCCAGGCTGGGCGGCGAGCCGCCCACGAACTTCATGCCGTTGTCGGCACCTCGTCCGCTGGGGCCTCCGTTAGGCGCGCCTCCAGCTGGACGGGCTCGCCGATGAAGTGGCCCTTGATCGGGTGCTTCCCCGCCTTCATCCTGTTCAGCCTCGTGCCCGCAGTGGCGTTGGCGATCTTGCCCAGGCACTTCGCCGCCAGCAGGACGGCCGCACCTCCGCTCGCCCTGGCGCTGCAAAACACCACGTCGCCCATGGTCATCAGTCGGTGCGACGCGTCGGCCGCCAGCACGGCAGCAGGCGTCCCGCGGCACAGCCCCGCCTCCAGCTGGGCGCGGTCCCTGCAGCGGACCCCGCAGCGAAAAAAAGGAGGAGGAGGTGGAGGAGGAGGAGGACGAGGACGAGGACGAGGACGAGGACGAGGACGAGGACAAGGTCCTCGTCCTCCTCCTCCTCCTCCTTTCCCCTCCCCCTCTCCAGGGAATCCCCTTGTTGCTCCTCCTCCTTCGCCTCCTCGTCCTCGTCATGGGGACGAGGACGAGGAGGAAGTAGGGGATTCCCTGGATCTCCTGAATTTGTGAGCGCCAGTAGTCGCCTGCGATCGTTCAGGGGCGGGGGCGGGGGAGGCGCGGGAGGAGTAAGACGAGGAGCAAATTAGGAGGGGGAGGATCAGGAAGAGGGGGGTGGGGATGGAGGAAAAGGTGAGGGAGGAGGGGGGTCCGAGGAAAAGGAAGAAAGGGGAGGAGGAGGAGGGCCGTGGACCGCCCCCCCTGGGAGTGGGGGGCCCGCGGACTCGGTCCACGCCGGGGCCGCCGCGACCGCCAGAGCGCCGGCGGACGGCAAGCAGCCGCGGCGGGCGCAGCCGTGCCTGAGGCTGCGGCCGGTGATGGTGCCGGTCGCGCGGGGTGGGCGGTCGCCAGGCTCGGGGGGGCAGTTCATCGGAGATGTAGCGCCATGCAGTCGCGGATAAGAGTGAGGGGGGGGGGCGCGGGGGCGGGCGCGGGGGAGGCAGTTAGTCAAAGAGCAAGAGATGGCATAAGCATAGAAGTGTTCGGCGCTCCGCGAGGATTTCTTGGAATGGTGCTGGGCCATCCTGGCGGCGCATCCGGCGCCGACCCAAGAAAACCGTGCGGAGATATGAATGCTTAGGCTTATAAAGTGTTTGAAGTCATGACAGTGGGGATGGGGATCGGCTACGGTCAGGAAATTTGGCTTCGCGTGTCGCTCCTCTGGTTTTGGCCCACCACGCCTCGGCGCGACACGCTATCCACTTCCTTTCCCGAGCTTTTTGGAGCCTCCTGCCCTGCAGAGCGGAGCGACACGCTATCCGCTCGCAAGGCATAGTGTGTCGCTGGGGCCGCCGGGGCGACACGCTATCCACGGCATATTGGGGGCAGTGCTAGGTTTGAGTTTTGAGGCCATGCCAGTGGAGATGCGGATCGGTTAAACTATTCTATCCTGTGGCGCGTAACGTTCGTTACCCAGGCCAGCCCCCATCTCCCCGGGTAACGGCAACGATCGTTCGTTAGGGGGGGACCTGAACCCCCACCCAACCTCCCAGGATGGTGGTGCTTGCGCGCATACCGCGGCGATCACAGCGCACACCCGCCCCATTATGCCCCTCACCCCCCCTCTCCCCGCCGCCCAAGCGTTATCGTTAGCCAGGGCGACCCCCCCCCTCCCCACGCTCCCGACCGCGGGTAAAGACCCCTACCCAGAAGCAGTATTCAATATTGTGCATGCGTGACATTTTCACAGCGCTGCCCGCGAGCCGCGCCGCTCCCCGCGGCTCCGGGAGGAGCATGAGCAGCAGGCGCTGCTTGGCCGATGCGCGGCGCGATCCGCTTGGCGCCTTGCTGCCGATGGGCGGCGCGCTGCGCACGCGCTCTTGCGCTCTCAGGAGCACATCAGAAGCAACGCTAGGTCCCAGGTATTCGGGAGCTGTCGTCGGCTCTCGTCGGCTCTCGTCGGCTTTACTCGGGGTGCTCTTCAGCAGCTGCGCCTCGCCAAGAGGGTTCTGGGGAAGTCCAGATCGTCCCGTATGGCCGTCTGAGAGCCGAGCTATGACCCGAAAGCCCAGGGGCAACGCTAGGGTGGGATAGGTGCAGGGGGGACGCATCGACCCCCGATCGCCCATCCATCGCCGATAGGGACACGACAGCCCACCCAGCGCAGGAACGTACCGTTTCGCTATCGGGGGCCTATCGACGATCTATCGGCGATCTATCGCCGATGTCAGGTCGATGTTTTCCCCCTCAGCCCTTTGCCAGCCCCTTCCCTCGTTGCCCCTCATTCTCGGGGGCGCCGAGCACGCACTGTCGCACGAAGAAAACACTTCATAAGCATGCACTTTGAACGGCCCGCGCAGATTTCTTGGATCTGCGCTGGACCCCCGTGCCGGCGCCTCTGGCGCGCTCTGCGGTCCAGGAAGTGGGGCCCAGCGCAGATCCAAGAAGTCCTCGCGAACTGCCGACAATGTATGTTTATGCAGTTTATGTGAACTTCTCCAGCACCGCTGCCCACGAACAGGCGCCCCCTGGTCGGGCACGGCAGTGCGGATCGGCGGTGAGCCCCGGGGGGGGAGGTGAGAGGGAGCAGGCCTTCTCGAAAGGCGGCTGGGTTTCCCAGAAGCCGTCGTGCCTTCTGGAAATTTATCTGGAGCCTCCTCCGAAGACACGCGGCTTCTCAGACGGCCGGGTGGCCTCTGAGAAGCCCAGCCGCCTCCCGAGACGGCCGGCCCCCTCCCACCTCTCGGGCCGGACGACAGGGTAGGATAGGCAACCGGAGTGTTACGAAATCTGCTGGATGCCGCAGTTTCGGCCCCGCCGCCGGGCCCATTCCTCGACAACTGTGCACCTCCCGGCGCCAGGGGGCGCCAGGAAAACCAGCTCTAACTACGTGAGCTGATTCTCTTCCCTGCCCTCTTGCTACCCTACCCTGACGTCCCCGCCGAACCTCCCCCCCCCAGGGCTCACCGCAGCGTCGAGGGCAGCCCTCAGCTGGTGCGCTGGGGCTGCTCGCAGCCGCCAGCGTGCCTCCTCGGCGGCGACGGTAGAGGCGAATAGACCAGGTGCGCCCGGGAGCCTGGACGACAGCATAGGCCATTGGTGCCCCTGGATATATGTGTTGCCCCCCCCTGGGCTATTCGCGCCCATCGTCGCCCTCGGCGCCCCTGGATACCTGTACTGATCCCCCCTGGACTATTCGCGCCCATCGTCGCCCCCGATCCTGTCGCCATCGGATCGCTTGGATACGTGTACTGCTCCCCCCCTGGGCTACTCGCCCCCATCGTCGCCCCCGTTCCTGTCACTATCGGCGTCCCTGGAGACATGTGATGCTCCCCCCTGGGCTATTCGCCCCCATCGTTGCCCCCCCAATCCTGCACTGCCCCCCCTGGGCTATTCGCCCCCATCGTCGCCCCCGATCCTGTCACCATGGGCGCCCATTGATACCATGTACTGCTTCCCTCTGGGCTATTCGCTTTCATCGTCGCTCCCGATCCTGTCACCAGCGGCGCCCCTGAATGCACGTGCGGCTCCCCCCTGGGCTGCTCGCCCCCATCGTCGCCCCCGAGCCTCCCGTCGCGGCGCGTGACTTGCACCAGCTTCCCCTGGGGCCCCTTCCTGGGAGGGCTGCTCCACCGCAGGGGGGAGCGGCACGTGGCAGGGAAGCGGAGAGAGAGAGGCGGGGAGATTGCGGGGGCGAGGAGGGAGCAGGAGAGAGCCAGAGGTCAGATATTCGTTTGGGGGATTCTCCTTGGGCCAGCCTGACGGATCTGTTCGACGCTAGCTCGATTGAGGTTCGACTCTAGGTCGACTCAGGTTCGATTCAGGTTCAATTCAAGTCGACCGACATTCGACGCAGCATCGACGCATGAGTGGAGCAATTGGCTCCTGGAAGGTCCCCAGAACGTGCATGTAACAGAGGTGGAGTGGCGGGAGGAAGGGTCAGTCGCAAAGGGGGGAAATTGGTCCTGAGGGAAATCAATCCTAAGGTTTTTCGCCGTGTATGGGCTCTCGGGGTCCTCCACGGGCCCCAGGACTTCCAGAAAACGATTCAGGATGAAGACATGGTCCTGGGGGAAGGCCCCAGTGTCCAGGACACGTTTCCCTCAAGACCCGCGTCTCCATGCTAAGTAAGGTCAGGAGGGAGGAGGGAGAGGAGGCGTTGGTGGAGCGAGGAGGGAGGGAGAGGGACGAGGTTAGAGAGGAGGAGGAGGAGGAGGAGGAGGAGGAGGAGGAGGAGGAGGAGGAGGAGGAGGAGGAGGAGGAAAAAGAGCAGGCACAAAAAGGAGGGAGATATGAAGGCGAGGGGAGAAGAGGAGCGTCGAGTGGCGAGGTCAAGTCGACGTCCGTGCTGTCGGCCGACGGGTGCTGGGCGACCTGGAGGGAGCGGTGGAGCCAGGCGACGCGCCACTGCCAGGAGACTCGCGCTGTGCGCAGTGCCCCCGCTCGGGCCGGCGGCGTCGTGGGGGAGGGTGGGGGAGTCGCACACTCGTCATGAAAGGACCTTTCATCGCTTGGACGTGTGCATGTTTCCTCCGGCGAGGACCATCGAGGAATATCCTTGATCACTTGGCGAAAAAACCACACACGAAACCGAAAAAAAACAGGGAATGGACGTCCGAGTGATGGCCAGGGGAGCGAGCCCTGAGGGAAATGGGCCCCAAGGTTCTTCACCACTTTCGGCCCCCGGGGCCCTCCCTGGGCTCCAGGACCGTGAGAGTCCGAGCCAGGAGGGAGCGCCGCCGAGGTCCAGGGCCCGTTTGCCTCCGGGTCCGTTTACAGATTTAGCCGGTCGCGCTCGCCGATTACGACCTTCGCCGGCGGCCGTCATCGCCGGCGGTCGTCTTCGCCAGGGCGAGCGGAGCCGCATGCTCCACTGGCCTCTCGCGGCCTTCGAGAGCGGGCGCGGTTGCCCCAGTGCCTCGTGCCCCTCCGCTCGAGAGGGGCCAGATGAGACAGCAGCAGCTCGTCCGCGCGGCCCGCGTCCGCTCGAAATCGGTCTCCGAACCCCTCCCGGGTCCGCAGGGTCCCATTTTTCTCAGCCACGCGCAGAGGGGGGTGCGAGGAGGGGGGAGGGCTTCTTAGAAGCACCCCTGCTTCTTGGAGGGCGCGGGCTTATCAACAGATGTAAGGCCGGCGCCTTCCAAGAAGCAGCCTCTTTCTAGGAAGCCCTCCCCCCTCCCTCCACCCCCTTTGTGCGCGCCGCCCATTTTCGACGCGGATCCTGCTGTGGCGACGAGGAGCTTCCAGGAGGCCCAGGCCTGCCTCCGGAGCGCGGCCCCGCGGCGCCGTCGTTGCCCAACCCCTTGGCTCCGAGGAGCGGAGCCCTGAGGACGAGGGGCCTCCAGCAGTGTAAACTCGACCTGCATGGGGCCCTGTCCTCTCCTGAGGTCAGGAGGAGAAACAGCACGGACACCAAGAATCGCAAGTACCACTGACGGCAGACATGGAGAACAGATGGGGAAGTGGAGGGGGAGACGAGCGTCCAGAAAACATGGAACATATGGAGGCTCCGTGGTCCATTTATTTGCGCGTCCCTGGGCCACTTCATGAGGGCTCGTCCCTCGGGGTCCCATCTTTGAACCACCGAGGGCCGAGCGGGCGGATCCCAACGAGGCGTGTTGGGCGGGCGGACCCTATCGGAGTCGGGCGGGCGGTTCGCAAGGATGACAGGTTCTTCTTAAAATATGCCGTGGGTGGGTTTCATTGTTTCTCTTCAAAAAATGGCATTTGGGAAATCCTTTGTTTGGGCACTTTGAGGTCCCAACCAGATAAGTCAAAACGCTGCTAACCCAAACTAGACAGTTTGTTCGCGGTTTGAGTTCCGTTTGTTGAGCATCTCCAGACCGTTGATTTGACAGGACAGGAGAAGTCCGCGATTGGACGGCGCATCGGAAGAACATGACAAATTGCCATGGCCATGGACCACTTAAGCGAAGACCATTCCGCGCTGAATGCAAGCGCAACAGAAAGCAGCGCTTGCGTATTACAATGGTTGGCGGCGGCATGAATTACACCAGCACGACGGCACGCAGGAGGGAGAGGAGGAAGGAGGGGGAGGGGGGAAGGGGAGAAGGACATATAAACCTGACATATATGTTTGCAATCACAATGCTTGGCAATTGCGTAGAACAGCACCCTCCCACTGCGACCTGGAAGAGTTCAACAGATTCTGCAATACATCGGCTTCGTCTCCTGCTAAGCTCAAGGCACTCGCATGCATACAAGCCGCCCGCTGCAAAAGAGGTCTTCCGCGCCTTCAAGGGGTAGGCCACTCCCTGGGTAATGTACCTTGGAGTCGGCTTTCCTCAAACACCATGCGCCTAGGCGGAGTGGTCGGGCTGGCTCTTGACAACTTGTCGCAAGAATCGGTTAGCTTGTGCAATAGGTCAACTGAAAGAGGGCGGGCGCCTACGAGCGACCTCTCTTCTTTATTGCTCACTCGGGAGGTGAAGGCCAGAGGGATGATGTGAATCCCCCGAAGACAATACGATTGGAATCCATCGAGCCCGTCCTGGTCAGCAGCCAGCTACACACATGATTCCAAACCGTAGAACAACATGGAGAACATGCACGCTTCCAAAGTCTGTATCTTCCGTTGCGGGGTTACGTTCGCGTGTCTCTATGCAGCACTGGGTTATTGAACGACATGGTTGGTTTCCCCATGGCGTCTTGTCAACTCTGCTTTGGGTTTCTCGTCTACGTTCATAAAGCCGCTCAACGACATGGAGCGATCTTTGCATAGAATGGGCTTCCAAACAGGCCTGTGAATAACTGGTGAAGACCTGATTTGTAGGAGCACGGACTTTCCCTCGTAGAGCTCCAAGCCGAATGCTGTTCCGATCTTGGCCACGGCATTCAGGTGATGTTGGAGGCGTTCCCCGTCTTCAGATCTCAACATGGTGTCGTCAGCGTATTATGCATCCGTTGTGATGACGTAAGATCATGGGCATCGTTGTGGCATGTCTGTCTCCATCTCGGCGTCCGCGGCCTCCATCAACACCGACATCACGATGACAAACAAAAGAGGAGAGCGGGCAGCCATGTACTATCCATGCAGTGTGAGGTCGTTGGAAGGACTTGGCATGCCCGTCTTTGAAAACAAACTTACGCACGTGCTGTGCATATTGCCTCAACAATATCAGTTGTAGGTACGGGAATCCTAAGTTGGCGTCAGGCGTGCATTATCCCCTCAGGCTGAATCCGGTCAACAGCTTTCCCCAAATCCAGCAATTTAAGTTTGATTGCGCTGTTTAAAAACTGCCGTCTACCGTGCCCTCGGTTCTTTCCTGCTCCTCGCTACTTGTCGCTGCTGGCTGGTCGCGGGGCCTCCGGGCCTATTCCGCGCTGGTGTTGGAACGGTGTTTGCGTTTATGGAGCGTTGTTTGCTCTGCGCTCGGCGCGCGGAGCGGGAGGAACGGGAGGCGGCAGGGACGGGAATGCGGGAGCGAAGACGGCAGTGAAGACAAGGAGCAGTCTTGACAAGAAAGGAAAATCGATGGACAATTGAAGATCCACAGCGACGGGCCTGAAAGTGCTAAAACAGAACGCAGCAAAACACGCTGAACCACGTAAATGCAAAACGGTAACCAAATATGCCCGGAACGCGGACGTGTATTTTCACAGATGAGCGCCCTCCAGGGACCTGTTTTTAGGTCCCCGAACCTACAGAAGGCAACCCACTGACGAATCCACACGTACGGCAGATTTGGCCAAGAAGTCCCAGGAATGTTTCAGAAGGGAGATCATTCAATGTCCAAGGTTGAAAATTGTTCGTAGCGTTGGTGCTGGGGCTCTTCTGCGTGCGTGATACCCCCCAGAGGCGTCCCTCAGACGGCCCTAAGACCCCCAAGAGCCAACCCGAGGACTCGACGATCCCCGAAGACTCCCCCCATAGACCAATCACAGGCTCCCCAAGGGCACCCAGCCCCCAAGATGTCCCAAGTAGCGCCCGAACAGAGCCAAACGATGGTCCCCAACCAGCCCAGGACAACCGCAAGATTGCTGCCCGTGGAGATCAAGACGGGCCAAGATAGCGCCCGAACAGGGCCAAAGAGCGCCCAGAGATGTCCCAAGAAAGTTCGAAGACGGCATCGGGAAGCCCATAAGGGCCCAAGGTGGTCCCAAGAGGCTGCAAGACAGTCCCAAGAGGATCTCACAACGGCCAGCAGCCGCCTGCCCGATCGCTTGTAATCGACGTGATTCCATTGTGTGTATATATATATAGATGAATATATATATATATATATATATATATATATATATATAAACACATGCAAGTGGCTTACGGTGTCCCCGCCGACCCGCACAAGGAGTGAGTGTTCGAGACGACCGTGGAAGTTACATCTTGGGTCAGGAGCCTCCTGGATAAATCTGAGGGGCCTTCTTGGGACGATCCTGGGGGCCACTTGGGCCGTCGTGTTTGTTCGCTGTCAATACGTAACATGCGAATGTGCCATGATTTGGGCCTCTTGGGGCCCTCTCGGCGGTCCTCTGTAGGCGTTTCTGGGCTGTCTTGGGGGCCCTGTGGGCCATCTTGAAGCCATCTTTAATCGTCGTGGGGCCCCTAGGGCCGTCATGACGCCCTCTTCGACTGTGTTGGCGCTCTGTCTGGGCCCTATTGGGCTGCATTGGGCTGCCTTGGGGCATTTTGGTGGCCCCCGATGCCACAGAGGTGCGTTGACGAGCTCGTCCCCCATTCCTCCCCCGTAGAACGGCATTCTGGATCCAAGGGGAGGGGGAAAGGAGGGGGAGGGGGACAGCCAAATGTGTCACGCAAGCGGGGGTCTGCGGACATTTATGTATCTACATATATATATATATATATGTAAAGACACGTACGTGTATATCTAACTATGTATATATATATATATACTCATCCAGCTGCCAACGGCAAGTCCCGCCATCGCGCCTGGGTTGTAGGTTAGAAGTTTAGTGGATGGTCGTTGGAATCTCGTGGGAGGCCTCTCGGGGGCCTCTTGGAGGCGGGTTTGAGGCCTCTTTGGGGCCGTCTTGGGGCTTTTTGCAGGGCTCCTCTTGGGCCCTTCTTGGGGCCCTCTTGGGCCGTCTTGGGCGCCTCTTGAGCAGTCTTGGGGCGCTTTTAGGCCATCTTGGGGCTCCTATAGGGCTGTCGTGGCGCCCTCTTCGCCTGTCTTGGCGCTCTGCCTGGGCCCTATTGGGCTACCTTGGGGCATTTTTGGTGGCCCCGGAGGCCACATGGGTGCGTTGACGAGCTCGTCCCCCCCTCCCCCGTTACAATTGCATTCTGGATCCAAGGGGAGGGGGAAAGGATGGGGAGGGGGACAGCAGCATGTCTCACACGCTTTTTCACCCCCGACAAGCGGGGGTTCGCGGACATGTATGTATCTACACGCATACACACATATATATGATTTATACGTGTATATATATGTGTATATAAGCATGCGTGTGTATATATATATATGTACATACACATATCTATATATATATATATATATATATATATGCATATTGATATTCATCCAGCTGCCAACGGCCAGTCCCGCCACCGCGCCTGGGTTGTAGGTTAGAAGTTTAGTGGATGGTCGTTGGAATCTCGTGGGAGGCCTCTCGGGGCCTCTTGGAGGCGGGTTTGAGGCCTCTTATGGGCTGTCTGGGGGCCTCTTGCGGGCCCCTCGGGGAGGAAGGCTCGGATTTTCGGTTCGTGCTCCCTCTTGCAGGGCTCCTCTTGGGCCCTTCTTGGGGCCCTCTTGGGCCGTCTTGGGCGCCTCTTGGGCCGTCTTAGGGCGCTCGTAGGCCGTCTTGAGGCCCGCCCCCTTGGGACATCGCGGGGACCTCCTGGAAATTTCATCCATCTTGGGACCCCCTTGGTTGGGGGATGTCCACCATCCTCCCCCGTCCTGCCCCTGTCTGATACTCGTCCCCCTCCCCCATCCTGATCACCCTTGCCTTCTCCTCCTCGACTTCCTTCTGCTCCTCCATCTCACCTCCTGCGTCGTCCTGCTGCGACTTTCTACCTCATCATCCTTCCTCCTCCTCTTGCTGCCTCCCCCCCTTCGCCCTCGCCCAGCGGCCTGTTGCAAGTTGTGGGCGGAGTCGTGGGTCACAACCAGTCTTGCCTCGCTGGAGTCCAGGCCTCTATTGGCGTCTGGCGCGCAGTGATGGAAAGTGGGGGGGGGGGGGGGGCGAGCCCTGACCTCATGGCTATGTACTCGAGCAATGGCCACGTTTCATGTTCGGAGGACCTTTCTTGTCTTACAAATGGCGGATTTGTTTTGTACCCGACGCGGGTTCGATGCGGATTCGACGTGGAGTATGCATGATTTTGGCACGGATTCGAAGTTCGATGGGGATTCGACGCACGCAGAGGCGTGATGAGACAGAGAAGGTCCGCTGGGTATCGCATTGGAGAGGGTTCGCCACCTTTGGCCTCCAGTTGTCATTGCCAGGCATTGGGGCCTTCAAGCACAAATGTGCAGCCTCGATATTTGGCGTTGATATTCTCGATGTCGTGGCGTCTGCTCTTCCTCACTGCTCTGGTGACAGATCTGAATCTAGACCGCTCCTGTTACTGATTCATGTTATGTGTGTATGTGTTGTTGTATGCTTTTAGTGACTGTGGTTGATGTATGTCGTTGGTGCCTGTTATGTTTGCATGGTGATGGCTTATGCTTTTGGTGCATGATATGGATGTGTGTGATTGATGCATTTAATGGGGGGGCGTGTTCTTGGTGTGTATGCTGGTCTATTCGTTACGTCTGCTCTTGACACCGTTGGTCGATGTATGGTCTTGCGGCACACTCTCAGGGTACATCACCGTCCGTGTGTTCTAGATGCCCCTGGACAGCGCAACGTCGTGACGCCTTGACGGCGTCACGCCGTGACTCCTCCCTGGTATGGTTGTCTGCTAGCTGCGAACATGCTTGTTCTTGATGACCTCATTGGGCTCGCCGGGGTCTCAGGAGCCGGGCGGCCACGGTGTGCAGGGCGTGTGAAGCGGGAAGCCCAGGGATCTCCCGGACTGTCGGGGCTTGGCGTCCGCGGTGTGCAGGGCGGGGCGGGGCGGGACTCCCCAGGATCACCCAGTCGGTTGCGGCTCTGCGGCCGCGGCATGCAGGGCCCGGCGAGGCGGGGGCACCCAGGGATCGCCCAGGCCACGGGGGCCTGGCGGCCGCGGTGTGCAGGGGGGGGGGGGGCGAGGCGGGTCGTGGACATCTTTCGTTTTTGGCTTCGAGTGCCAGCGTGTCGGGCACGGGAAGATCAGACGATCCCAGCGAGGAGTCCAGGCGCTGGTAACTCGGACGTGTCCCCGCGCTGGTGTCCTACATGTGTGGCGACGCCCCAACCTCCCCAGGTCTTCTTCCAGAGACATGCGTGATTACACATTGCAGATGTCGTGCTTCGTCCAGGTGGAGTGTTCGCGTGCAGGGAGTCGACAAGATCTCCCTTAGAAGAGGGCTGATTGGGTGATCGATGTGAGGAATACGTAAGGACTGAATGCGTGCTTGCGCTGGTCATCAAAGAAGTCTTGCCAGGGAGTCGCGGAGGTTTCGTACAGCCTTCTGGTAGCATGGGACATGTTCCACACGCTGCCTTGGAATTGCTACAGTGCGCATGTCGTGGTGACCATCATCAAGGTGCTCACCGGGCCTATCTTAATGCATTTGGTGCCGGTCTGCCAGGCGATTGCAATGACGGTGATGACCTCAGAGAGCCTCGCATTTTGCAAGCACTGTCAATGATTTTTGCTTTCCAGCTCCAGTCATAGAATTAGCGATCATGGCATGAATTTCGCTCCCTTTTGAAACAGGATCCTCGCATTGTCGTTTGTCTTTCCTTGGGACTGGCTGATCAGGCAGCTTCTTGCTGCAGGACGAGGCAGACAAGCAGCTGGTTGCTAGATTGGGTGTCCACGCAAGCAGACTCAGTAATGAGGATGGTTGGATGATCTTGTTTCATTCGGCCCCTTGCGCTCTACAATGGGAATTGTTAACGCTTCGCGAATCCCCACGTGGCGGCCAACGTGCCTCTGCAGCCAATTATCTCGCTCTGTGGCCCAGACGTTCATCCCGCTCACTGGATCTGTCCTTCGAGCCGCCAATCAAAAAAAATATCCCCACCAGCCCATCCAGAAACGATGCCCAGAGGAACTGCCTCGATCAGGGAAGAGGGCAGCACACAGAGGAAGCCATTATGAGACATCTTGGGATATCTGGAGCCATCTTGGAGGTCATCTTGGGCTCTCCCAGGCGCTCTTGGAGTCGTCTTAATCAGTGCCCCCCCCAACGAGGCCAACATGTGGCTAAAACCTTCGTGAAATCAATGATTTTGCATTCTCGCCGAGGCCTCTTGGAGCATCTTGGGTGTCTCTGGGGGATCTCTTGGGGCCTCTTGGGGGTCTCTTGGGAGCCTCTTGGGGGCATCCTGGGGGCCTCTTGGGGCTTCCTGGTCACCTCTTGGGGCCCTCTTGGGGCACCCTTGGGGGCCATCTTTGGGCCACCTTGGGTGAGATGGATCACAGGAGGGGGGGTACTAATTACAGCCCCCCCCCCAGGAGGCCAAAATGGGGCCAAAACCGTAGTAAAGTCAATCAGTATGGCTTCCTCGCCGAGGCCGTTTTGGACGCTCCGACGACTCGCGACACCCCCCGTCCAGGTCCATGGGGAGGGGGTAGGGGGAGGGGTAAACCCCTCCCCGAGGGGGAAGAAGGAGGGGTGGAAGAGGAAACGCTCTAAACCGCCGACGCCCAGAGGGCTGGTGGGAATATGGCTTCATCCCCCTCTGCTTCCTCCGCCCCTCTCTCGTTTGAGGGGGGCGCTTTGCAGGGGCAGCATCCCTCAGCTCGCCCTCACTGCTAGATCCGATTGCGCACCTGGGCATTTGTCACCGCATTCTGGTTCGCTCGTGTGCGCGCCCGTCCTGCACCTCAGCGGGCCCGCTGCACTCGGCACGTCTGTCTAGGCCACCCCGCGGGGGTGCGAAGGGAAGCGTGGCTCGCGGTCTGGGCCGGAGACGTGTCCTCCTCCAGGGTTGCGCCGCGCGAGAGCGCGAAGAGGTGGCGTAGCGCCAGTGTGGGTGACCTGGTTTCAGCGGGCGGGGCTAGGACATCGTAGAAGAAGCAATGACATAAGCATACATATTCGAAGGTCCGCGCGGATTCCTTGGATCGGCGGTGGGGCCTCCTGGCTCCACCTCATGCGTTCCCCCTGTCCCCCTGTCGCGCTCTGTGCGCCAGGCAGGGGGGTCCAGCGTCGATCCAAGACAGTCTGGCGGAGCTCCAACAGTTTCTATGTGTATGTCATTGGTTGATCATTCGTTCCAGAGCGTTTCGGAGCGCTCTCAGAGTTTCAAGACGCTCTGGGAAGGCCGCGGCGCTTGATGCATCCTCCAGAGCCGATCGATATCAGAGATAAATAATGCGCAAGCTCATGTTTAGCAGTCTCATAAAGAATGGTCGATCTTACACTCTGTAGCTCTCGACAAAGAGTGTTATCAGAATTCATGATCTGGGTGATCTACCTATGTCTGATGTTTGTCTTGTCCTCGCCTCGTCCCATTATCTATGAGCTGGTGGCAACGATCGGAAATCCATGGCTGCCAGGATTGCTGCAACGGTATGGTTTATATCTTGCGTAGTTCCCCATCTGCATTTGTAAGTGATGCCTTGCGCTCAGGTCCTGACGGTCTACTGGCTCGCCAACCATCGTGCGGTCCCCGAGTGCCCCGACAGGAGATTCATCCTTTTGTCTCTCGCCCGCAGCACCGCCCCTGCAGAAAGGCCGTCCCAGCAAGGGCGCGTTCTCGACGAATCATTCATTTGGCCTCTCGCCCCGGAAGCTGGCCGGACGCTTACTGGAGTCAGTCGACCGGAGTCAGCAAACGTTTTACGGAACCGTTTGCGCTTGCGGGGGCCAGCGGGATCTGATGAAGCAAATGGAGGCCAACACATGGGTATTCAAGAGTGTGCGGATCGGTCATATGAACTGTTTAGCCTCACCCAATCGTGGACGAGATGTGCTTGCTCCGACTCCGTGCCGACGCGGCCCGACTGGACACGCATTTCGGTTCGAGCCGAGAGCCCGATTCCGTGCTGACCGATCCTGTCGTCCCTCTCACTCGGCCCCACCACCCCCTCCCGCCGCTGTGCTTCGAGAAGGGGCTGTCTGGGACCCACGCCGTCCTCCCGTCCGCGGCAGAGCACGCCGATCTTCCGCCGGCAAGTGCCGAAACGTGGGTATTGGCCCGGCCCGTGGCGAACGCGCGAATGCCAATGCTCGTCATCTCCTCCCGCCACTCTTGGCCGCGCCCTCGTCGCCTTCATTCGCCCCCTCCTGACCCTGCTCTGCCGCCGCGTCCTAGCCAACTGTGCCATACTCCCCGTCCTTCTCGGTGTGCCCCGCCCCGCCAAGGTAATGCAGGGCCGTGTCGTAAGGTATCACAAGGTATTACAAAGGCCTTTGCAGGGGGGGTGCAGTGGTATTGCAGGGTCTTTGCAGGGTGTCCAGGGGAGAGGGTAGGGAGAGGACGGACGAGGAGCGGGGAGCTCCTTGTTCTCCACACCCTCATCCCGCCCGTCCTTATCCTTGCCGGAAGGAGCACCCACTTGTCTTCCAGAAAGGGCGTTCCAAAAAAAGCCACGCCTTCGGGGAACCCCTGGGACGACGTCCAGATCTACACTTCCAATGTCTTCACCGACTCCTCGCTCCTCGTCCGACCCTCCCGCTCTCTGTGGCGACCACGAGACCTGTCCTGAAGCGCGTCATGACCAGGATTTCGAGGCGGATCCGGCCGCAGTGGCGAGCCCCCTCCCCCTCTCCCGCCCCCGGGAGACCCCAAAGACAGGCGACCACCACCGGAGACGGCCGAAGCATCGCCGATTTTCAGCGCAGATGGCGCATGGGCAACAAGGGTTGAAACAAACACATTTGCATAAACATAACCTTGTGGAGGTCCACGCATCTACCTTGGTTGGATCGGCGCGAGACGCGCCGTGGAGCGCGCCACGGGCGGCGCCGGAGGCGCATCCAGGGAGTGTTCAGCACCGATCCAAGAAGTCCGCGCGAACCTTCGGCTGTTTCTGTTCATGGCCTTTCTTCATGATTGCTCCAGCAGGTTCCATGTTCGAACTTGTGTCATGACCAGCATACAGTGTGCACATCGAATAAGAAATCTGTTGTCCAGCAGGTGCCCCTCGGACCTTTCTTATGCTCCCTGGCCCCCATGGATCGCAGCGCCGATCCGAGAAATCCGCGCGGATCGTCGACCGTTCATGTCTATGCCGTTTCTTTTTTCCAATGGGTGCCATGATCGAATGTGTATCATGACCATCTTGCAGTGGGCACATCGAATGCGGACATTTGCCTTCCAGCAGCAGCTGCTGCACGGAAAGTTCACATCCTCCGACGGCCCCCGGGACCCACAGAAGATTTGGGGCATCTCAGGGCCGTCAAAGATCGGCGGGCAATTCTCCGAATGGGCGGCGAACGCAGGCGCAAGGGGTGAGACCGGCGGGGCGCGCCAGGCGCGGGGCGCACGGAGCAAGAAGATCGACGACACCTGTGCCCCACGAGTTCTTCTGGCAAGAGTTCTTATCTTTCTCAGAGCGTGAATTACCTACCCCGCTTTCGCTTCCAGGCAAAACCAAGCCATACCACGCGCCTCCTCGTCAAGCGGCCTGACCAGCAGGCTGCAATTTGGCATCGTTTGGTATCTCTTGGAAGCGAGGGTGGTCAAACGCGGGGTAGGTTTGTTTTCCCCCTAATCTCAGGTGTCCTCTGAGCCTCTCCCTCGTCCTCTTCGTCGCCTCATTCACTGGCCCGCGCGCGCCGGCCCGCGCCCCCCGAAGGATCTGGATGGCCAGCGCGGACGGCCAGACGCTGCTCTGCGGTCTCGCTGGGGCGTGGGCGCTGACCTGGCCAGGAAGCCCTTTCGTCCCTCTGTCTCGTCCACGTCATCATCCTCCTCCTCATCGTCCTCGTTGTCCTCCTCGTCTTCCTCCTCGTCCTCCTCGTCCTCGTTGTCCTCTTTGTCATCCTCCTTGCCTTCGTTGTCCTCCTCTGCCTCCTCCACCTCCTCGTCCTCCTCGTTTCGTTCTCCGCCGCGGAGGTGAGGAATGAGAGAGGGGACCGACCACCACCACCACCACTACCACCTCAAGGGAGGACCGAAGGAGAGAGGAGGAGTGGCGCCCCCTTATCATTCATCCTCAATGATGAAACACCGAGGTGTCTCTGCGTTGTTGACACTGACTGAGCGTACAGGTCCCTCGGGGGAATTGGTGGAGCCCTCCTCATGGCCCTGCTCCTCGTGCTCTTGCCCCTCCTCCTGCTCGTTCCTCAAGGGTCGAAGGTCGAGGCGTTTCGGTATGTGTTCACCCTGTTTTGGCATCACGCTGGGCATCTCGGAAGACCTCCTCCGCCTGTTTCCGCCTCATTGTCCGTACCATTATTTATCATGATGTTTTCCTCCTCATCACCTCCCTCTCCATTCCACTCCTGGAATTATACCATCCTCATCCTCATCCCAAATCATCCTCTCCTTCTCATTCATCTTCTCCTCCCCGCCTCCTCTCTTCCTCCCTAATCTCCTCCACCTCCCCTTATCCCCATCCTTGCCCGTCCCTTCCATCTCCCCTCCGCCTCCTCATCATCCTCTTCATCTGATCATCCTCCTCTGATTATGCCATCTCGTGTTCCTCTCCCCTCTGGCCTCGCCTTGCCAATCACCCAGATTATACCTGACT